CGTGTAGCCTAAACTTAAAGCAGTCGTGTAGCCTAAACTTAAAGCAGCCGTGTAGCCTAAACTTAAAGCAGTCGTGTAGTCTAAACTTAAAGCAGTCGTGTAGTCTAAACTTAAAGCAGTCGTGTAGTCTAAACTTAAAGCAGTCGTGTTGCCTAAACTTAAAGCAGTCGTGTTGCCTAAACTTAATGCAGTCGTGTAGTCTAAACTTAATGCAGTCGTGTTGCCTAAACTCAATGCAGTCGTGTTGCCTAAACTTAAAGCAGTCGTGTAGCCTAAACTTAAAGCAGTCGTGTAGTCTAAACTTAAAGCAGTCGTGTAGTCTAAACTTAAAGCAGTCGTGTTGCCTAAACTTAAAGCAGTCGTGCAGTCGTGTTTCCTAAACTTAAAGCAGTCGTGTAGTCTAAACTTAAAGCAGTCGTGTAGTCTAAACTTAAAGCAGTCGTGTAGTCTAAACTTAAAGCAGTCGTGTAGTCGTGTAGTCTAAACTTAAAGCAGTCGTGTAGTCGTGTTGCCTAAACTTAAAGCAGTCGTGTAGTCGTGTTGCCTAAACTTAAAGCAGTCGTGTAGTCGTGTTGCCTAAACTTAAAGCAGTCGTGTAGCCTAAACTTAAAGCAGTCGTGTAGTCGTGTTGCCTAAACTTAAAGCTGTCATGTAGTCGTGTTGCCTAAACTTAAAGCAGTCGTGTAGTCGTGTTGCCTAAACTTAAAGCAGTCGTGTAGTCTAAACTTAAAGCAGTCGTGTAGTCTAAACTTAAAGCAGTCGTGTAGTCTAAACTTAAAGCAGTCGTGTAGTCGTGTAGTCTAAACTTAAAGCAGTCGTGTAGTCGTGTAGTCTAAACTTAAAGCAGTCGTGTTGCCTAAACTTAAAGCAGTTGTGTAGTCGTGTAGTCTAAACTTAAAGCAGTCGTGTAGTTGTGCTGCCTAAACTTAAAGCAGTCGTGTAGTTGTGCTGCCTAAACTTAAAGCAGTCGTGTAGTTGTGTTGCCTAAACTTAAAGCAGTCGTGTAGTTGTGTTGCCTAAACTTAAAGCAGTTGTGTAGTCGTGTAGTCTAAACTTAAAGCAGTCGTGTAGTTGTGTTGCCTAAACTTAAAGCAGTCGTGTAGTTGTGTTGCCTAAACTTAAAAGTAGTTGTGTAGTCGTGTAGTCTAAACTTAAAGCAGTTGTGTAGTTGTGTTGCCTAAACTTAAAGCAGTTGTGTAGTCGTGTAGTCTAAACTTAAAGCAGTTGTGTAGTTGTGTTGCCTAAACTTAAAAGTAGTCGTGTAGTTGTGTTGCCTAAACTTAAAAGTAGTTGTGTAGTTGTGTTGCCTAAACTTAAAAGTAGTTGTGTAGTTGTGTTGCCTAAACTTAAAAGTAGTTGTGTAGTTGTGTTGCCTAAACCAGACCCTGGTCTCCTGGGTGAAAGTCCTTAATGCACCACAACCTAATCCATAAACATACTTTATCTTCATACTTCTTCTACTTTTATTACTCCTAAATCTTTTCAGCTAGCATACTGTTGCCTAATTAAGTAGCATATTCAACTTGGCAGGGTCTAAATAGCTGCCGTGTGACTCCCGATCTCACCCGGGTGCAAATAGATGTTGAGTTCTTCTAATCAGTGCTACTTTTGGCGTGAACGCGCCCCAACATACTGGAAGATAAAGTGGAGTCATAACACGGAGTAAGGTGACTACAGGGCCAAACTCTTAGAAGGTGCTTTAATCCTTTAATCACCAGAGGGAGTTGAATTGCTGCACTCTTGGTGATTAACTTCACACATTATAAAGTCAGGTTTAAGTGGTTCCACTGAGATTATAGCATCACTTTTCAGACTTAAATTCCTGTTCGTGGTCCCAAGGGGAGCCTGAATGAGAGTGCACCTCCACAGCAGGCGTGTTTACAGATTAAAATGTCAAAAGGCACATTTCTGCAGTGCACACCTGGTGACCGGTGCTCTGGTAAATAGTATCGACTCTGACAGAAGTAGTGAGGACTCACCATGGGGGTCTTGTACTTGTGGATCACCACTTCTTTAGTTTCAGGAACTACGCCGGTGCAAGAGACAAAACAAAGAATTCAAAGGCAGCAGGAACCTAAATGAGTTCATGCTTGAGAGATTTAGGGAGGGGGGGTTACAGGGGTGGACTTCCAACAAGGTGTAAAATGGGATGTGGGCCAAGAAGAGTCCACCACAACAGTCAGGAGTCATCGATTGATAGTCAGGGGAGGTGAGAGAGGCTTGTCTACTGCTGTTGAATCCATGTTATTGATTACGGTCCATGTCTAGCGTAATGATGGAACTTTGTTTATACGGGCAGTATTACATTTGAACTTGTGACTGTTGGGTGAGACGTTCACGGCCCACAAAATGGTCAAATAAAAACACAAAATGTCTTATAACAAGAGACGGCAAAGATTGTAAAGTTTCAGAAGTGAAGAAGAAGGACAACCTCCTCCCCCCCAAAGAACAGAAAGTCGAAAGACATCACAGAGAAGCAGCTACAAGAGGACACAATCCTTTGACCCAGGACCGCGTCACTGCCCACAGGACAGATCGACTTTTCATTAGTAACTGTGAACCCATAGCAGAGATGAGAAGGCTGAGGTCTGGACAGATGGGGGGGGGGGGGGGGGATGTTGGATCACAAACAAACAGTCCCATCAAAGATCTCCACTTGCTGAGATTCAGAGGCAGACTATCACGAGAATGAGTGCTGGGAGTCTGGGCTTGATCTCCCAAAATGAACAGCGAGTGATGAAGGACGCAGAGCGAAAACTCATAACACAGGAACCAAAGAAAGAGAACGAAATCAATGAAAAGGATTGGAGTGAGGACATATTCAGCACAGAGTTAAGTTTGGGTAAGAAAAGGAGAAAGGTGACAACACTTTACCTGCTGGAGAATGAAGGTTTTCATAGTGGCAAAGATGAGGGCAACATTACAAAAGCAGCACAGAGACACGACAGTAACCCAGCCTGGCTCTCAACGTCTCGTAACATGTCACTGTCACACTGTAAGTCATCCTTTCTGACCCGTTATAAATGTAAAGACTCTTTTAAAGACATAAAAGTAGCCTGAGCTACGGTACGAAACCCTTCTGCTCCTCTCCATAAATAAAGTTGTTGACGATGTGGGCCTTAGATACGGTTTGCTTTAAATCACTGTCATTTTTTAAACATGTCTTTTGCATTGTGGAACGGGCCATTTGTTGATGTATTAACACCTAAAAATGTACATTTTATAGTAAAGGAAGTACTTTTTTTTCACTGTAAATTTAGATAAATCCTGTGTTTTTGGGGTTCAAGGCAACAAAAAGAGTTTGTGCTGAAAGAACTACTTCTTCTTGGCTTAAAGCTGCAGTTAGTAACTTAAATAAAAAACGCTTTGTGTCATATTTGCTCAAACTGTCACTGTATCCTCACAGTAGTACATGAGACAAATCACCTGTGAATAGATCAGGTGGCTCCGCCTCCTTTTAATTCTCTTAATGACGTTTACAAGATCCCCCCCACGCCCAGAGAAAAAACATGTACATCTTTAAAAACAAGTGATACATGCGTTATTACATATTCTAAAACAGCTGGGCATCGTGGTTTTAAGCAACTATCACTCAAACTGGGAGTAAATAGTGCATTTGTTGTGGACTATTTTCAGCCGTGGATTAATACATATTTACAGCAGCAGGACGGTGCATGTTGCATCAAATTAAACATTGATTGTTTTTTGGATAACAATGAAGCTCCATAGCACAGAGGAATAAGATGTATATTCATAGAAATTAACAATATAAGAAATATCATCTCATCTAACCTTTAATCTCCATCTTTATCTTGAAGCTAACACGTTATGTGCCGACATCAGAAGCATAGGACTAAAATGATTTGATCACAAGTTTATATTTTAGACTATTTCAACATTATTTAAAAAGAGATTCTGTTTTTTGTATTACTTTTATCATCATTAAACATAAGGTTATACATCTACCTCTAAGAACTGACATTACTTCTTTTTTATGGAACCTCTTCGTTTAGTTTCTACAAGTTGTTGTCAAATAAAAGAGCTCGACTTTGTGTTTTGGAGCATCGTCCCTATTTCTGAACTAAACAGAGTGTTGCTCACTGTAAACTCTAAGGCTCCCCCCCATGCGACTGAAAGAACACCGCACCCTGTGAAGAATCCGTCGCTCACATAATCACCTGCAGACATCAGAGTGTCAGTGTTCCTCGAGGTGAGCGAGTATCCAATTTAGCGAAGCCCTTATTAGCCCTCGTCAATACATTTGCCATGAAGCTGAGTTACTGCCGTGCCGAGTACAGGCCTAGAATCAATAGGTGGTGTAATTACCAAATTCCTCCAGGACAAAGACTCCCTTCACTGTATTGCACTTTTTAATGTGACTCAGCTCTATGAAAACCTAAAAATCAAACAAAAACACAAACAAAACAAGACAGAACATTATTAACTCAACAACACTGGATGAAAAGTTAACACTTCATATTTAACAAATTAAACATGTTCAACTTGTTTTATTCGGTGTGAAAGGTCAACTCAAAACAACTACACATGGAGTGCAAGCTTTTAACGGCTAACCAAAGAAAAGAAAAGCACACTATGAGAAGTTTCCATGATCAAACGCATACATGGGCGACGGGTAAATGAGGAGAGATGCACTTAGTCTGCTCAGCACTAATTCAACATGACTCGTTTCATAACAACTGGCACATTTATAGTTATTAGTTTGGGTGTAAACAGCAGCGGTAGTTTAAAAAACATTTATTTCTATGCTGAGAGATGCATTATGGCCCATATGATGCATACATGGAAGTTCCATATAAAAATGTAGACAAGGACACAAAATTAGATTTGCCACAGAGCTACAACAGTAACAAAGAAAAAGAAAAACAAGGAACCCAATAAGATGGAACTGCTAATAAGCAAACACAGCAGAGGTTGTGTACCTTCCGCTCCTTGCAGGGGGAGAGAGCATGGGAGAGAAATGGTTTGGATTATTATCGGACAGAAGAGCACAAACACTCGACGACACTCCGAGAGGGCGCTACGCACGGGAGCCTCGTACGGGTTCGGATCAATGGTCTCACTAACAAGTTACCAGAGCCAATATGAAAAGGAAAATAATAAATAAAAAACGTCACAAGAGGAATCAGCCCCCAAAAAATAGGGGGGGGGGGGAAAGAAGAAGAAGAAAAAAAAGAAGAGGACTAGAGGTTTGACTAAGGTGCTGAGAGCTGCATTCACCTTTGGTTTCCTGGACTTTAAACATCTCAGTCCCCCAGAGCCCTCCATGCCTCCTCCTCCAGCAACAAGGGCTGGCACCAACACCACTAGCTCGCACAGCAGCACAGATAACCGAGGGCCAATCCCGGGCCCCGACCCAATGCTCACTCACATTATTTATTTATATAT